AGAGACACATAGAAAGAGAGACAGACAGAGACACATAGAGAGAGAGACAGAGAGAGAGAGAGGGAGAGAGAGAGAGAGAGAGAGAGAGAGAGAGAGAGACAGACAGACAGAGAGACAGAGAGAGAGACAGAGAGAGAGACAGAGAGAGAGACAGAGAGAGAGAGAGACAGAGACAGAGACAGAGACAGAGAGAGGGACAGAGAGAGGGACAGAGAGAGCGAGAAAGAGGGAAAGAGAAAGAAAAGACAGGACAAAGAGATGAGGAAGACGAAGAGAGATACTGTACAGATATAGGATCTTAATTTGATCACCCTGTTGAAGGACATTTTTTATGTATAGTATGAGGTTTAAAAAGGCTTCTGACATTTTCAATTCCACTTAAAAATGTCAGACTTGATTTTCCCTTACCAAAAAATGTATCAACCTGTACAAAAATGTCCATTAATTCACATTTCCTGTTACTGGCTTGCTGCAGGATTATTTTCCTGCTGTAGCAAACGGGCTCAAATGAAGATCCTACATCTGTAGTTAGTAAGTTAGTTAGTTAGGCGGATATGGAGATAGAGAGACCGTGTGTCGTTTTTTGCAGAGCAGATTTCCTTTCTCTTCTCGTAACAAGGGTTACATAAGTCCTTTTTCCTAAGATAAAGGATTCACATGACTTGCCTAAAAAGATTAATTCAATCTGAGCTGTGTGTGTGTGTGTGTGTGTATGTGTGTTTGAATGCATGCACACTTGAGTGTGTGTGCGCATGTGTGTCCTCAAGGAGTTTCTTCCATTACCAGAGCCCAAATGAGCTTTTTGTGTGAGACTACTATCTAAGGCAATGTTCAGACGGAGGAGAAATACGACTCAGAGAACAATATCATCTAAAGGGACTCTTCCATCACCATTACAGGCCAAAGAGCCCTGCAGTCATTTGTTGAATTACATCCCAAATAAATAAATAAATAATACTGTATATGTGGTACTTCTTTTCAGTACGTGTTCAGCACACTTCCATTATCTCAGCAGGTTGCTGTAGCACGCAGCATGAAACCATATCTCAAGCTGAGGCAGGTTATGTTATAAAAGTTAAAATGTGGTAATAACCGTTTGTGCGCAAATTGTGATCTTACACCACGGCACTAAATTATACAGACACAGGCGTGACTGAAAATTGCATGTGAGAGTGGATTAACACAAGCAGGGTACAAGCATACAGCCAGTAAACACAGATAGTGCACATCAGAGGTAAAAGACGTGTGCAGTAATGTGAGATACATACAGTATGTTGTGTACACATCCAGAAAGACTACGCTCTACATATAAACACATCAAATTTGCTATAATAGCTGTTTTCACATGTTCAGTTTAAATTTCACACGTGAAATCATAATTATAGTTCACATGTTAAGCCATCTTTTCACATGTGAGGAGAATAACGTGAAATTTGCAATTCACGTGAAATTCTATCACATTTGAAAATCAAATTTGCAGGTTCACATGTAAGAAAACTCCACAAGTGGCGCAGCGGTCTAAGGCACTGCATCGCAGTGCTTGAGGCGTCACTACAGACCTGGGTTCGATCCCAGGCTGTGTCACAGCCGGCCGTGACCGGGAGACCCATGAGGCGCACAATTGGCCAGCGTCGTCCGGGTTGGGGAGGGTTTGGCTGACCGGGATGTCCTTGTCCCATCGCGCTCTAGCGACTCCTTGTGGTGGGCCGGGCGCCTGCAAGATGACTTTGTCGCCAGTTGTACGGTGTTTCCTCCGACACATTGGTGCGGCTGGCTTCCGGGTTAAGCGAGCAGTGTGTCAAGAAGCAGTGCGGCTTGGCAGGGTCGTGTTTCAGAGGACACATAGCTCTCGACCTTCGCCTCTCCCGAGTCCGTATGAGAGTTGCAGCGATGGGATAACACTAACTACCAATTGGATATCACGAAGTAAGGGGGTAAATAAAAACTTTCAGATGTGAAAAACACTCGCATGTAAAAATCACATTTGCAGTTTCACATGTGAATAACTTTCACTTGTGATTTTTTTTTTTCACGTGAACTTGCAATTCCAGATGTAAAAGTGAAAATCAAATTTGCAGTTTCACATGTAAGAAAATCTCACTTTCACATGTGGAATTGCAAGTTCACTCACAGGGTTGAAATAATGTTATTCTCCATACATGTGAAAAGATGGTGTTAACATGTTGCAGTTGCAATGTTTCCACTGGTGGAATTAGTGTGACCACATCTAAAAAGCCCAAATGCGGGACAAGGGAACAATTTTACAGGACATTTGCGGAACAGTGGACAGATTTCTTTTTTTTTTCTTTTTCTGGCAGGTTAAATTCAAATAGTTTTCAGTAACATGTTTTTTATGATAATGCGATTAAATAAAACGCCTCCCTCTTTCCTGCAATTTTCCCTGTCTTTGGTTATGTTACCGTGGCCTTTGCTTTTGCTACCTTTTTTCCAGTTGCAAGTTTTGCCACATTCATTCCAGCAACATAGCAGCCTGCATCCCACTGTTGGTTTACCGCTGAAGCTAAGCAGGGTCAGTCCTGTTTGGTCCCTAGATGGGAGACGTAGCTGGAAGTGCTGAAAATAAACGTAGGGGCAAAACATTTTTACGAAGGAAAAACACATGAAACATTTCTGACTTTCAATCACAAAAAATTCTCGTGATTTGTTCACAAATGTCTTCACACGTGTCTGAAAACCACATTATGTTTTTTTCAAAAACAAATTACACTTTTTTTTGTAAGGGACCACACACACTTGCCCCAGGCACCCTGTTTTCTGTTAGGCACTGTGATTTCTTTCTGATGATGCGTGATGTGCATCTGCTTGCCTGTGATTTGATCTCAGATATCCAATGCTGGTCCATTCCTACGTATCCCCTTTCCCCATTCAGTCTAGTTAACTAGGCCATACTAGGTCATGTCCCAAATGGCACCCTATGCCCTACATTATCCTCTACTTCTGACCAGGGCCCGTAGTGTAGTTTGCCATCTGGGACGCAACCTAGCAACCACAACCCTCCACCTCTCTTCTACCAAGGGAAAACTACGCTACAACTCCCCATCTATCCTGGCAAAAATGTATGATTTGCTAGTCTTTGAAGATAAATATGTGTTAGTAGTAATTTAGAGTTGTTGAGGATAAACATGTTAGCTATGAGCAGCAACCTAGCACTAATGTATCCACACCCAATGTGTAATCCACAACCAATTCAGCTAGATTTCGCCACAGACTAGTGCTCTGAAATCCAAGAAACTCTTGTTGATACATTTACAATTACATTTACGTCATTTAGCAGACGCTCTTATCCAGAGCGACTTACAAATTGGTGCATTTACCTTATAGCCAAGGGGATAACCACTTTACAATGTTATTTTTTATTATTTTTTTTGATACTCACTCTATCAAAAAACACACCATAGAATAACATTGTATTGCAGAGATATCACAGGAGTCCACTCATTCAGGAGCTCACTTGCCCTGTACTAAACAGCTCCACATGGCCCCACTGTGTTCATCTGACCCAATTAGCCATCCATGCGAGGAGGAAAACCCTCGCAGGACTGAGCCATTGCCAGGGATATGCAGGGTTTCCATCACAATCTAGATAGTTAAACAAGGATCAAGGTAGCAGATCCAGGATCAGGCGGTCGTCACAAGTTACCATAGCCACAAAGTCATAAACCCTGCCTATTTCGATAATCTCTCTTCTTAAAATGTCATTTGAAACCTAACCCTAACTTGAACCCTAACCTTAACCACAATAGTAACCTTATGCCTAACGTTCAATTAAGACCAAAAAGCTCTTTTTGTTTTCATGAATAGAGCCAATATTGACTTTGTAGCTGTGGTAACTAGTGGAAACTGGATCAAACTAATCCATGTCTTAATCTCAATTATTGGGAGGAAACAGTAAAACAGGCCTTAGATCAGCATTTATGGGCAACTTCATCCTACATCTTGTGGTTATCCCTGGCTATTCTCTTCTAAAATAGGAGCCTTGTGGCAACATGAAACAACAAGAGTAACCTGTGCCACCTAGGAGATGGTGAGCGAGAAGGGACACAAGCAAGCACAGGGTAATATTCATTCCAAACAAAATATTTTCCTACAGTGTGCACTAATGAATACACCACAGGCAGATACACACGTTTGCTTGTCTGACTCAGTGATACCTGGGGAACCTATTAAAGTTAATCAATTCATCAAGACTAAAATATAAAGCACATCTTTCCATTCTGTTCCCTTCTGGATTCTTCAGAATGAATATGAAACCCCATAACTCCATCTGGTATGTACCGGTACTCTGATCTTTGCTTGTTGTTTTGGTTGTTTTTTGACATATCAACACTGAAAACACCTGATGCCCCCATCATCTATTCAAATTAGTTTTCCCTTGAAATTGGCAGCATGGGAAAATGAGTTTTCACCGTCTGTGGCTTTTGAAAGACTTGGAGAGGGATTTGACACGGCCTCACAACACACAGAGAGAAACACTGGTCCAAACAAGTCTATCAGTCAAAGGGGTAGATAACAAGTTTCCATTAATCTCATATAAAATATTCATAGAGCCTTCTTTTCTATTGCCTGACATCTCACCCACGTAAGTTCGACCAGAATTACTCCTCACTTACACATTATTATTATATTATTATTATTATCATGCAAATGAAAATACAGTATGTAGATGACTTGACTTGGACCAGAAAAAAGTCCTGACGGTGTGATCATATTTTAGATTCAAATGAAAGAAATTGAAGAGCAGCCAGTGAGACTATCCTAACATGATATTACACATGTAGCAAATACAACACAAACACTTGTACAGAGTTCAAAAAAACAAGCATATACATGTGACAATGGCAAGGGCCTCATCATGAAAAGTATGTGTAAAAAATGTAATATGTAATAAACATGTAATAAACATGTAATGAGTAAGTATTATTAACATGATTGAACAAACACATTCACAGAACTGATCCTTCATCTTTAAACAGAAGTCTCTAGTATAAAGACATTGGTTCACTCACCATGAAGACTGCTATTGCCCCTCCGATGATGAACCCGGCGATGACGTCACACCAGTGGTTGCGGTACTCCACTACCCTGTTGATTCCTGTGAGGAAGGCCAGACACATGAGTCCCAGAGATAGGAGTGGCTTGGCCAGCTTGGTCCCCTTGGCCTTCACTTTTAACGTGATGTACATCTGCAGCAGGGAGACAAACACACACACAACAGTCCTCAGTTTGATAGTATGTTAACTCTGTAAGGGGGAGACACTCAAGGGTAATTTGCAATGAGCATTAATTATTAAGAGTTCATAACATTTTTGGGAGGGCTTATAGTTTTCAAATATAAAATAATTGGCTGCGTTCAAGAGCATCAAATCAGTGATGCGTTGTGGATAAATTGTGACTGACCTACAAATAATAATTAGTCGTTTTTAATGATGCAAGGTGATTTGTTGATCAGTCAGTTGCAACTCGCCTGCAATGCTGGCTGCAATGTCAAACAAGCCCATTGTCTCTGTAGTTAATTTGCTGAAAGAAAGGTACTATCACTGAATCTGCCACTAAAGGTTAATTACATTTAAACTTTCAATGATTTTGCAGTTTCAATTTAGCTGGAGATGAGGAAACTTTTGCTCTAGTAACATTTGGAGATGACTTGCTGCGTCATTGTTGCTGCCCTTCCAGCTCACCTCCCTCGCTCCTTTGGCGACGAGCACTACTCTAGTGACAACATTTGAAATAATTAAGCAAAAGTGGCTGATGTGTCCAGAATAACATTGGAATGCCTAGAAGACAGTATTTCTAGGCATTCCAATGTTATTCTGGACACATCAGCCACTCATCTATGATGTAGAGTTCAAGTTAATTCGCCCTGAAGCCCCATGTTAAGTAGAGGTCCAATTTCATTGAGAGAAACGTTGAGAATGACTGTATATTGTGGCAACACTACAGTCACATGTCTATCCACCTGAGACGAATTAAATATGACACTTCCAAAGCGACTTACAGTACAGTGAGCGCATACATTTTTGCTATGTGTGACTGTGATCCCTATGGGAAATAAACCCGAAACCTTGGCGTTAGCTACAATCGCCATACTCTTACCAACTGAGCCACACAGATCAGACCATTTTCCACTAATCTTCAATGTTCCATTATCATTAACTGTTATCGTTTCTGAAAAACATGCCCACCAAACTGCTGTGTCTAGCCTAGGAGAGAAAAAAATGTGTTCCTCCTTAGAGCTCGCCACTTGAGCTGAAATTGGAAATGAGGGAGCACAGAAGAGGACAGGGCGGTGACGCTGCTGATTTTGCAGCACCCTTCTCCCACCGTCTTCAGAGAGGAAGCTCTTCAATAAGAACTAATTTGATCAAAGCGCTCAATACCAGCAACATCAACAACAACAGCAGCAACCCCCCAAAACATCAACAGGGCATTCTGAGCAGAGCAGAATCCGAGCAGAGCATTCTGCTCAGCCTACTGCCAACCTTTAATTCAATATCATAGCAGCAGCACAATATTGGCTCGGGTGAAAAGCCATAGGCCTACCTTTCTAAATAAGAACTGGATGCAATTAGGTTCTAAATCTGAAATAAACACATGGTTACCACATGGATATTGTACAACTTTCTACTCAGATCTCCCTTAAAATTAACATAATTTAGCCGTTCAAAAAGTAGTAAAGCCAACATCTTTCCAATTGAACTTATCGCAGTCTCATTAACATAAAATGAATTCCAACGGGGGGCCAGTAAAAAATGTATGCACTCACTAACTATAAGTCGCTCTGGATAAGAGCGTCTGCTAAATGACTAAAATGTAAATGTAAAATAGGCAAACATTAACATTCTGAAATCAGCAGATATTCCGTTCAGGATTTAATAGCAATGACCTCGCTTTGGTCAAATTAGGGAATATTCTCTATTCTCAAATGTTAAAGAGATACAAGCAGAGTCAACATCAAACTACTGAAGTAGGACCACCAATAGAAAATAACTATATATAATAGCCCCTTTAAACAAGATGGTGTAGATTGGCTACAAACTGTCTTTAGTAGTACATTTGGCGTAGTCTGCAGGATGAGAAATGTATAGTTAGCATGACATCCCCCACTTCTCACTATGTAGTGTATAATAGCAAACTGTGGTGTAATAATACCATCATGCATCATCCCTAATAACAAACAAACAAAAATTGTCACTTCTCCAAATTGCATCCCTGATTTACCGCTGTGTAGAGCGCGGCATAGACACTGAGCGCAGCCTCTTTGGAGGGGAAGGATTTGCGGGCGTGCATGATGTCGTCCTCGTTGCCCGTGCACGCCCCCTGTTGGTTGACGAAGCGGGCGGTCTGCACGCAGCCCAGGGCCGTGTAGTTGGGCTTACACACCGTCAGGAAGTGGGGGGACAGGTTCCCCGTCACCACCTGACCCGCGTTCACAAATATGTCAGTGGAGAAAAGGCCAAAAGCGTACACACCTGGAGAAAGAGGGGGAGGAGGGAGGGGGAGATGGGAGAGAGAGAGAGAGAGAGAGAGAGAGAGAGAGAGAGAGAGATTGATGAGGACATCAAGAAAAGGTCAGAAGTGAGGAAGTGAAGAGACAGGGTGATCAACCACTGTGTCTTATGAGTCACAGACTACTGATGAGCACCATGTAATTATCTTGTCTAGACTAGAGTCCTTCACCTTGAATGTGTCCTTGGATGCGTTGACCTCCTCCAGAGAAAATAAACAAACAATTGTTAAATGCATGACTACATTTTCTGATTCTACTCAAAGATGAGATGACAAACTACAAGTCATTGAGCTGAGAAGCTATACAATTACCCAAAGATCTTTAAAATCTCCAAATGAGTGGTGAGAACAAGGCAGGATGGTAGTGGGTATCCATTTACTACTAGGTCTGACACATTTACTTCTAAGCCTGCCATAGCAAGAAAATCAGGTTGGACACACTTAAGCCCAGAGGGTTACACTGGTAATGTGCTTCCTGTCCTATAAACTGCCACTGGCCAAGACTACAGGGTCTCTCTGAGGAAAAACTCAGTCTCCGTCACTGCAAAAACCAGAGGAGGCTGGTGTAAGGAGCTATATGAGGACGGGCTCATTAGGAATGGCATAAAAACAGTATCAAACACATCAAACATATGGAATCCACGTTTGACTCCATTCCATTTATTATATTCCAGCCATTACAATTAGCCCGAGCCCATCCTCCTATAGCTCCTCCCACCAGCCTCCTCTGGTAAAAACATAGCACTACTGTACATTTTAGGGCTGACCCCATTTAGTCGACTGGACGATTGTTTGGCCGATAGGCTGTTGGTCGACCGAGATTTCTTTAGTTGAGCAGTCGCAAATTATAATTTTTTAGCATGGTGCACAAGACATCTGTCTGATTCGCATCTGTTTCAGTGGACTAATCTATTGTGGAGGCCATGGGGATGGCATAGTCCATCACTCCAAGACATGTGATAGTTAAATTGTATATGTTTATATTATGTACAAATAATGGTGCAACACTAATACATCTAATATAATATTATAACAAATGCGCTTTCTCCCATGTTGGATACAGTCTCTGTCCACGGTTCTGAAACATAATCTTCAGTGCGCCGTAGAATTGGCGCCTTTCCCTATGTTGCTATGTGCATAATAGCAAAGTTATCCAGCATAATGGGATTGAGAACAATGCGGCGGAGGCAGCAGAGACGAGGAAACAGCCTTTGCTTTATTGTCTAAGAAAATTGAGGAGAGAGGAAACCCCAACTTAATTAAATCTATAATCAATAGGCTAACTGTTAAACGTGCCTGGCTTTATAAATCACCCATATAGATCTACAGAAATAAGACAGATCCTGCTTCTGTTGCCTGTTTGAGTGTTTGTTTAATAGCCTACTGATTCCGTGAGCACCAAGCCTCACGCAATGTCGGATAAAGCAATTTCACAGACTCGGCTGTTTTTAATCTTTGCAATGCTGCAATAAAGGCTGAACAATTTTGTTTGTTACAACAGACTGGTATTACTTTACATTTATTTAGTGTTGTTTACACTGTTCCAAACAGGCAGAACATTTTTATTGTAATCTAACAGCACCGGTTTGTCACACATAATATGCACACAGCCCTCCTACTGTATATGCGCGCAGCTCCTATACCCTCCTTTTTTAAATCTCCTTCTTATTGTTATTATTACTATTATTATTATGATCATCATTATAATAATAAGTACTGTCGTTATCATTAGTAGGCTTTGTATAGTAGCCTTGTATAACCACCATCGAGCTGTAGGCCTAAGAGTGCGTCCTGTTTAGTCTTAATACCATAACCTACTTACGCCTATACAGTGAGGGAAAAAAGTATTTGATCCCCTGCTAATTTTGTACGTTTGCCCACTGACAAATAAATGATCAGTCATAAATTGATTTGCATTTTAATGAGGGAAATAAGTATTTGACCCCCTCTCAATCAGAAAGATTTCTGGCTCCCAGGTGTCTTTTATACAGGTAACGAGCTGAGATTAGGAGCACACTTAAAGGGAGTGCTCCTAATCTCAGCTTGTTACCTGTATAAAAGACACCTGTCCACAGAAGCAATCAATCAATCAGATTCCAAACTCTCCACCAAGGCCAAGACAAAGAGCTCTCCAAGGATGTCAGGGACAAGATTGTAGACCTACACAAGGCTGGAATCAGCTACAAGACCATCGCAAGCAGCTTGGTGAGAAGGTGACAACAGTTGGTGCGATTATTCGCAAATGGAAGAAACACAAAAGACCTGTCAATCTCCCTCGGCCTGGGCATCCATGCAAGATCTCACCTCGTGGAGTTGCAATGATCATGAGAACGGTGAGGAATCAGCCCAGAACTACACGGGAGGATCTTGTCAATGATCTCAAGGCAGCTGGGACCATAGTCACCAAGAAAACAATTGGTAACACACTACGCCGTGAAGGACTGAAATCCTGCAGTGCCTGCAAGGTCCCCCTGCTCAAGAAAGCACATTTACAGGCCTGTCTGAAGTTTGCCAATGAACATCTGAATGATTCAGAGGAGAACTGGGTGAAAGTTTTGTGGTCAGATGAGACCAAAATCGAGCTCTTTGGCATCAACTCAACTCGCCGTGTTTGGAGGAGGAGGAATGCTGCCTATGACCCCAAGAACACCATCCCCACCGTCAAACATGGATGTGGAAACATTATGTTTTGGGGGTGTTTTTCTGCTAAGGGGACAGGACAACTTCACTGCATCAAAGGGACGATGGACGGGGCCATGTACCGTCAAATCTTGAGTGAGAACCTCCTTCCCTCAGCCAGGGCATTGAAAATGGGTCGTGGATGGGTATTCCAGCATGACAATGACCCAAAACACATGGCCAAGGCAACAAAGGAGTGGCTCAAGAAGAAGCACATTAAGGTCCTGGAGTGGCCTAGCCAGTCTCCAGACCTTAATCCCATATAAAATCTGTGGAGGGAGCTGAAGTTTCGAGTTGCCAAATGTCAGCCTCGAAACCTTAATGACTTGGAGAAGATCTGCAAGGAGGAGTGGGACAAAATCCCTCCTGAGATGTGTGCAAACCTGGTGGCCAACTAAAAGAAACGTCTGACCTCTGTGATTGCCAACAAGGGTTTTGCCACCAAGTACTAAATCATGTTTTGCAGAGGGGTCAAATACTTATTTCCCTCATTAAAATGCAAATCATTTTATAAAATTGTTGACATGCGTTTTTCTGGATTTTTTTGTTGTTATTCTGTCTCTCACTGTTCAAATAAACCTACCATTAAAATTATAGACTGATCATTTATTTGTCAGTGGGCAAACGTACAAAATCAGCAGGGGATCAAATACTTTTTTCCTCACTGTATATGGAAAAATAAGTTTAAACATTTCGACCAATCGACTGGTCTAAAGAACAGGACGACTCTCGGTTGACCATGGGCGGTGTGTTCAATAGGGCGATATGGGCGACGCACTGCCAAACGGGAAAAGGAAGGGATTTTTTTTCTAATCAATTATATCATGGCAACAGTAGTTCAGTGTTCACGTCTGATCTGCCAGCCACTAAATGTCCAATCAGGCTAAAGTCGTGCTTCAAATGTCCCCGCCCGTTTTGGGGCGATTTCAGTCAGGTTGAAAATCGCCCAGAAGTCTCTCATAGCCTCTAATGTAAAATATTTTTTTTTCAAATTTCTGAGCTTTCAATACATTCTCTATGGGTGTCTGAGGGCTTGCACTTACGCGCTTTCGTCATACGTAACGTAACGTAACCATGAACGGCAGACAGCAACGCTTGGACAGCGACTGGTGTAACCGACATGCACCATCTTTCAGAAAAGATTAAGAAAAATGAGCTGTCAAAGGCCCACATTGATAGCTGTTTGAGATTGTCTGCTTTGGTGAGAGTGAATATTGCCACTCAACTGGATGAGGGATACAGGCTAGCTGTCCGCCGCCACAACGATGAGGTTAGCAACAGCAGAGTCGTGAACACTGTCTACGAGAATCGAGACGACCTCATAGAATGTTTTGAAGCCATCCGGACGGGTTCATTGGGTTCATTTGACCAGCCCACCGTACCAGAAGCTACAGAATAAGGACATCGATGCTGTCTTTATCAAACGTGCCCTCGACAGCTTCGCAAGCAGTGTGCAGGCCATAAGGTAAGATAAAGATTAAACAATATCATTCGATCTTTCTCAAAGCAGAGCTTTATTTGAAAATGTATGCATGAAAGGAGACTGCATTTGTGTTTGAAATTACATTATTGTCATTATATATGGCCAGTGGTGTAATCTATTTTATTTTATATACTATGTGTACTGTACAGTGGTGCTCATAAGTGTATGAACACATTCTAAAGCTGACTAAAAAGAGGAATAAAAAAATAAAAAAATAATCTTTTGGAAATTGATCTTAATGACTTAATTAAAAAAGTTGGAAAATCCAACCTTTAAGGACACCAATTTTCTTTTCTTTTTTATTCCTCTTTTTAGTCAACTTTAGCATGGGATCATAAGCTTATGAGCACCACTGTATACTGTGCTGAACATCCAGGCTATGTGAGACACAAAGGCTAACTTAAACACTAAAGACTTTATGCATCCCTGCCCATTTTAAGTGGAACTGAAGTATTTGTACTATACATGGATACATTGCATATACCTGTGCATCACATAGACAACAATACTGTACAAAGCCAACAAACACATTGGTCTGTTTGCCTTCAGGGACTCCTCTCAACAGCAGCTGCAAGAAGCAACAGGAGCCAAAAGACCCAGAACAGCTTTGAGAGAAGAGGAGAAGCAGAGGCTGTCTGAAGAGGTCTGCAACACCATCCTGGATCACACCAAAGAAAGGTTCTCTTTCTCTGGCCACCTTGTGAGTGCTACCTTACTGCAAGCAGACATGTTTGAAAGGTACTGCCATTCAAAAAAATAAAAAATCTGTTCATGTTCATTTTTACAAATCTATACAATTGGCCAGAATATGGTTGTTCATATTTACAAATCTATACAATTGGCCAGAATATGGTTGTTCATTTTTACAAAGCCATACATATTGTTTATGCAGTGTTGAGGAATGTGAAAGAACACCCTTGATTATTTTTACTGTGATAACTTATTTTGCTTTTGTAAGCCAACACTTTTGAGATCAGTCAATAAATGCTTCTGGTATTGACTTATATGCTGCCCCTGTCTTCATGTTGTTGCTGGACATATCTTTTTAAAAATGTGTGTAGGTCACCTAAATCATCAGAAAAATTGCCCCTCCTGAGAATTTTTTCAGGAGCCGCCACTGCGGTTGACCAATATTTTTTGGGGTCGGGGACAGCCCTAGTACATTTACTATAGTACAGATACTCAAACTGATTTTATCCAATCAATTCCGCTCCATGTCATTTCTCCATGTCATTTCTAGGGCTTTTGGTAATTTTATTTTCATAGAGCAGCAAGCCCACGGCAAAGACAAACATTCCATTCACCATTACTGTTGACTGGAGCCAGACCTAGGATAGGTTCAACTTTGTTGACACTGATGATAGCTTAGAAGATGTTGCTACATTGTATTTTACTAGCTGCATTAAATATAGGTAAGCATAATTTATCATCTTATTTTGAGTCAGACCTTTCCTGTACACCACTTATACCAACAATCTTTGTTTTATTTGAAGTGCAGACCTTTGAAATGATATTGCACCCAAAGTCCTTGTTACCACATCATGAGTTAGGGCAGCCAAAGTCCTTGTTACCACATCATGAGTTAGGGCAGCCATTTTACATGGGGACAGTAAGCATTAGGCAAGTGGTATGGAGGTAGGTTACTGCCAAAATACGTACCCAGGAAGCGGAAGGTCCTGCGCACCAGAGGGTTGAGGTAACAGCAGTCTCCCATGACGATGATCTTCTCCCTGTTGTCCAGGTCCTCTGACACATACTGGAGTAGAAACAACACCGACTCTATGGCTGTGATCTAACATACAGGGAGTGAGAGAGGGGGAGGGAGAGAGATAGACTCTAATCACTGATAACAGGATCTGAACATTGTGACGTTCTTTTGCGGAAAATGCCATTAATTCAAACCATGGTCCATTATGCTAACAAATGCAGCTGATTTTCGGGACATTTGTCTGATATAGCGATGCCTTTGTGCCACTTGAACCAAATATTCCCTTGAGGGCACAAATTAAGACCTATGCTTTTTGTCTCGCTGCAACCAAGAATAGAGCAGTACATAAACCTAAGGCGGAAGAATACTGCACCAATGAACAATGGAGTTGATTTGGGCTCTGATTCGGTTCAGCTGTAATGCCAGTGTTCCACTACAGCTGTTGGCCTTGATTGGCCCATTTAGCTCAATCGTCAGAGGTCAATGGGGTGAAACACTGATAAGCACCTTCAGGAAAAGACACGGTAAACTGTGCAGACGCCCAGTATAATGTGTGCAATCATTTCCTGAAACAGCCAACTAAACATTTTGTGGTGGTAGAGCGTTAAACCATTGTGTGTGACACGGGTGGTTGGCAATCATGACAGGTTTGTGACTTATGCCATCAGCTTTAAGAGTGTGGAACAGTAAAGCTGCAGTCTAGACCAGTTGGACCATTCATAATGCAGCAGAGAGAGCAGAGATGTTCAGAACTTTCTGTAACACCACATCTCTTAGTCAAAAATGGGTTCTGTTCTTCTCTCTCCCTAGTATCCCTAGACTCTAGCCACTGTCCTTACCAGACCTATTGACTATGGAACAATCAAAAAACAGAATCATAATGGAATCACACCAGAAACGTATGCCAACTGGGCCTATGCCTTCTAAATACTTAGTTTTTCAGCACTTTGTAAGCTGTTAACACTCATTTTACAAGTCATAATGGCACAGTTCTGAAGCACAACAACACTTCCTTTGTTTCCATCTGGAATAAAGCCAGATCACTTTTAATGATTTATTTTCTGTCTGATTTTGAGTGTGCCACCCTAACTGTGTCACTTTCAATTGTATAGTCTTGTTCTAGAACTTTTCCATTGGTAAATGTCAAAGGTTTGGCAAGTTCATGCAATCAATTGTGCATAATAGTGTTTGAGCATGTCTTCTTCCAAGAAGTTGCTACAACTACCTTTACTCTTCCCTTCTGATCAGTCATCTTCAATACATCTACTTAGTAATAAATGCGACATTATCTCTTTGATCAAATATGTATCAGATTTGAATCCATCAGCACTTCAGCCCAATGCATAACATAACATAACATAACATTAGGCACTATTCTGTTTGTGCCTTCTTCTCTCTAACCACCCTGTTTCTCCCTGTGACAGTGTGACCTTGTGCGAACAGATTTCCGATCCATAATCGCCCATTTCCCTGTTCTTGTAGCCATGTGAAAAAACACATGAAGTGACTGGTTAAACTTGTGAACTCGAGCACAAAATGTGACACCGTTATCCACTCGAACCAGGGTGGTTTCGAAGTACAGTACAGTCGTGGTCAAAAGTTTTGAGAATGACACAAATACTAATTTTCACAAAGTCTGCTGCCTCAGTTTTGATGATGGCAATTTGCATATACTCCAGAATGTCATGAAGAGTGATCAGATTAATTGAAATTAATTGCAAAGTCCCTCTTTGCCATGAAAATGAACTTAATCCCCCAAAATCATTTCCACTGCATTTCAGCCCTGCCGCAAAAGGACCAGCTGACATCATGTCAGTGATTCTCTCGTTAACACAGGTAAGAGTGTTGATGAGGACAAGGCTGGAGATCACTCTGTCATGCTGATTGAGTTAGAATAACAGACTGGAAGCTTTCAAAAGGAGGGTGGTGCTTGAAATCAGAGCATATGAGCGGAGTGGAGCGGGAGCGAGCGTGGAGCGTGAGCGGACGGATTTTGACAGAGCGCAGAGCGGCATTTTTAAAAGGACGGAGCGTCGCCCTATGTCCCGCTCCAATTTCGCTCGCTCACACCACGAGTCTGAAGCATGCTCAAGCCTGACCCAGAATCCATCTGTTTAATTTAATTTGTGTCATCCATGAATTTGTATTTTATAGAGCGAGAGGAGCAGCAGCAGCAACAAGAGAAAAGGGTTGAGGAATTCAAAAGTTTATTCACTGCACGTAAAGGCCCAACCATAACAAGGGAGAGAAAAAGAGAGCTGGATGTAGCATTTTTTGAAATTATTTTCATGGACTATGAACCGCTGAGTAAAGGAGAACGCGAAGGGATGCAACACTTCGCCAGCGTAGCTCAACCGGGCTACACCCCCCCAAGAAACTATGATAAATTAGTACTTTACTTTGTCAAATTTACATCTGAGATGCCCCATTCACATGCTTCAGCTGGCGATCAAAAACGCCGTTAACAAGCACGACAACATTAATAGGCTGTTAGTGAAAGTCGGGCACCTGGTGAAAAGTGTACGCAAGAGCACAGAGGAAACCGACCAATTAGGTGTCCGCTCAACAAATGCCTGCGCCATTCGATGGAGCAGCCAGCTGCGGATGATTCAGTCGTTCATCCGGTTGTTCCAAAAAGACCCGTTATGGTAAAACAAACTCAAGTCTAATGTTGCTAACATCACCCTGAATCAAGTACGGCAGCTGACGCACCTTGTCAGTGTGCTGACACCACTAGCAGACCTCACAGACAAAATGCAGAAGGAGCTGGGGAACCTGGGGATGATCCTCCCTGCTGTCACAGAAATCAAATCCCTGCTCACCGATTACACTCACGCTGCACTTCCAATGGGCATCGCTGCTTTTGCAGAAACATTGGCAAACAACGTGTCAATTCGCTATGGAATATACTATACTGATTAACATCTAATTTTAGCGTCAGTGTTAGATCCCCGTTTCAAGACAGAATGGATAATCCGAGATTAGTCTGTATGCAACAAATTCGGGGAGATAAAGTAAGGCTGTGGTTTAAGCTAAAAGTGAAATACATGCAGATTTTGTTCCTTTTTTGGAGTGAGCGGGGGGCGATTTGAGTGGAGCGCGATGCAAACTGCGTTGAGCGCTGAGCGATAATGAGCGGACTGGCCTGATGTGGCTTTGAGCGGGAGGAGCGGAGGGGTGAACAGCTCCGTGAGCGAGGAGCTGAGATTCTCACCGCTCCACTCCGCTCATATGCTCTGCTTGAAATCATTGTTCTTCCTCTGTTAACCATGGTTACCTGCAAGGAAACACATGAAGTCATCATTGCTTTGCACAAAAAGGGTTTCTCAGGCAAGGATATTGCTGCTAGTAAGATTGCACCTAAATCAACCATTTATCGGATCATCAAGAACTTCAAGGAGAGAGGTTCAATTGTTGTGAAGAAGGCGTCAGGGTGCCAAAGAAAGTCCAGCAAGCGCCAGGACCGTCTCCTAACGTTGATTCAGCTGCGGGATCGGGGCACCACCAGTGCAGAACTTGCTCAGGAATGGCAGCAGGCAGATGTGAGTGCATCTGCACGCACAGTGAGGCGAAGACTTTTGGAGGATGGCCTGGTGTCAAGAAGGGCAGCAAAGAAGCCACTTCTCTCCAGGAAAAACATCAGGGACAGACTGATATTCTGCAAAAGGTACAGGGATTGGACTGCTGAGGACTGGGGTAAAGTCATTTTCTCTGATGAATCCCCTTTCCGATTGTTTGGGGCATCCGGAAAACACCTTGTCCGGAGAAGACAAGGTGAGCGCTACCATCAGTCCTGTGTCATGCCAACAGTAAAGCATACTGAGACCATTCATGTGTAGGGTTGCTTCTCAGCCAAGGGGGTGGTGTCACGATCGTCATATGGAACAGACCAAGGCGCAGCGTGATGAACAAACATACTTTAATTAGTTAAAGTTTAAACACAAAACAAGAAACGACTCGTGACGTCCAACGGTATCAATGACCGAACACGGAACAAAATCCCACAAACCCAAAGGGAAAAACATACAGTTTAAATATGGCTCCCAATCAGAGACAACCAGCCAACAGCTGACACTCGTTGCCTCTGATTGGGAGTAACTCAGGCAAAACATAGAAATCAACACAACAGAATACCAACATAGAAATACACACATAGAATGAACACACCCTGGCTCAACATAATGAGTCCCAGAGCCAGGGTGTGACAGTACCCCCACCTAAATGCGCGGACTGCGACCGCGCCTCAACTAAACAAAACAGGGGAGGGCTGGGCGGGCATACCTCCTCGGCGGCGGTTCTGGCTCCGGCCTTGACCACCACCCTCCAATACACCCCCCATAGCGCCCCTGGTCCAGTCTGGCCCCGCCGGCTGGAGCCGAACTGGACATAGCAGGAGCGGTTAGCTTCAGCTCCATCGTGGAGCAGTTGACCGGTACCTTACCAGGCACCGGTGACCCAGGCACGGGTTGTGCTGGACTGACGACGCGCACCCCTGGCTTGGTGCGTGGAGGAGGAACGGGCCTTACCAGGCTGACGACGCGCACCCCTGGCTTGGTGCGTGGAGGAGGGACGGGTCTTACCAGGCTGACGACTCGCACCCCTGGCTTGGTGCGTGGAGGAGGGACGGGCCTTACCAGGCTGACGACTCGCACCCCTGGCTTGGTGCGAGTGGCAGGAACAGGCCGGGCCGGGCTGGCGACGCGCACCGTAGACTTGGTGCGAGTGGCAGGAACAGGCCGGGCCGGGCTGGCGACGCGCACCGTAGACTTGGTGCGAGTGGCAGGAACAGGCCGGGCCGGGCTGGCGACGCGCACCGTAGACTTGGTGCGAGTGGCAGGAACAGGCCGGGCCGGGCTGGCGACGCGCACCGTATACTTGGTGCGAGTGGCAGGAACAGGCCGGGCCGGGCTGGCGACGCGCACCGTATACTTGGTGCGAGTGGCAGGAACAGGCCGGGCCGGGCTGGCGACGCGCACCGTATACTTGGTGTGAGTGGCAGGAACAGGCCGGGCCGGGCTGGCGACGCGCACCGTATACTTGGTGCGTGGAGCAGGGACAGGCCGGGCCGGGCTGTCGACGCACAC